TTCTCGACCGCAGTGGTCCCGCTCAACAATCCCACCAGCAATGGGGGAGGGTTCCTATTTCTTCCCACTCTTGCCAACACAGTTGTTTCCTGTTTTGGGAATCCTTCTCCCGGATACTTTCATGATCTCATTTTGTTTTGACAGCGCCTCAAGAGGCAGATGCTGTTGGAATCCCTTTACACAGATTCAACAACTGAGGCTCGGTGGGGTTAAGTCACTGGTTGAAGGGCGTACAGCAGAGCCAAGGACCCACACAGCCTGAGCCCAGAGCTCAGGTGCTTGCTTTGTGCACTCCCTGCTGCCCCATCCCTGTTGAAGACTGGGTCCAGGGACAGTGTGCAAAATACAACAGGCCCTTTGAATGGATGGCCTGCTTTTTGTCCAGAGCAGGCTGAGACTCCACCATGGTCATGGTCTCCAGGCCCCCACGCAGCCCCCACAGAGCTCTGGTTCCAAGGGGCTGAGGGCTCCGCTCAGGACTCCTTTCCAGGAGAGCCCCCACCAGACAAAGGAGACCCCAGCCAATGGGCTTCCAAGGTCATCACTGTCTGGAAGCAGCAAGGAGGGAGGAGGGGAGTCTGGAGAAGGGAGGGTTCCAGGCTCTGAGGGACCCACCTCTCAGCAAAAGCCCAGCACTCCAAAGCTCGCCTCGGAGCCTCCACTTCCCACCTGCTGACCCCCAGGCTCAGGCCATGTGGCTTCCGCTGATCCCCCTGGGAGCTGACCACCCTTTGGTTCACTTGAGCCCACCCTCTACCCCTTGCTCCTGGTCTGGCCACGGAGATAGGCCTTCAGCACCAGGGTGATAGGTGAGGTGGGGTAACTAGAGCTACAGCTACTGTCCCCTCCCGAGTACAGGGCTCAGTCCTCCCCTCTGGAGTGTGCGCCCTCCTGTGCTCAGGAAGTTAGTCTCCGTCCAGGAGGAAGTGGCTCCGTTCGGTGGGCAGGGGGCCAGCCCCCTTCCAGACCCAGACTGAGCACCAAGTTCCAACCCAGACCTGGTGTTTTAGCTGGATGGTGCCCAGGCTGCTGGGACCCTGCGGGCACAGGGCAGGAAGATGTCCGGACTCGGCGGTCCTCTCCTTTTATGGGCACAGAGACCATTTTCCAAACAAAAACGAGGTCACGTGGTTGGAAACAGGATTCTTTCCTTATCTCTGAAATTATTTTCATAGAAAGTCTGCCAGGGTATAAAAATTAGATGGCAGTTAACAAATCTTCGTGCCAAGGAAAGAAAAACAGGCCTGAGGGCCAGAGGATGTAGGAGAGCCGGGGTCACATTAACCGGGCAGGTTGTGAAGTTGTGACGTGTTCTTCCACAGAGGGCACGGGCCCAATCCTGGGCCCCGACATTGGGCCGCAACGGCCTAGGCCCTAGGCCCTGGGCAAGAGATGGGAGGGGGAGCCCCAGGCCCCACTTAGAGGGGATGGTGACCCATGAGGTAGCTGACCCCTCCCCTCCTAACTCCCGCTTCTGGCTGTGAGAATGTCTGACCGTCCTTGGGTGTTTTGCATGCCTTCACCT